CTTTATTTTGAGAAAATTATTTATTTATTTAAGACAAAGAGAGAGATACCAATCTTGGTTTACTGCCCAAATGGCACAGCAGCCAAGGCTGACACAGCCAGGAGCTGTGATGTGATCAAGGTCTCCTGTGTGGGGCAGGGACATAAGCTCTTAGCCCATCATCAGCACCTAGCTGCCTCCCAGAAGATGCATCAGCAGCCAGTGGGTCAGAGGTGTGTGCTTCTCATCCAGACACCCCAGTGTGAGATGCAGACAACGGAAGCAATAGGTCAGTGTAGTATGCCACAACACCCAGCTTCTTCGGAGACCCATGACCTGACTATTCTTTCCAGGAGTTTCGTTGAACAGCTAGAAAAGGAACGTTCTTTTCATCTCACCAAGATAAATCATTTCCCATTGCAGCACAACATATCCATTCCTCCTCTTGTAGTAATTTCAACTTTTCCTAGGAATTTAAAACTTGAAACTAAATTAATGTGTTTCAAATCTCACCTTTATTCAGTGTTTCTTCTCACCCTGTAAACTATCTGAAAGTACAACAGCTGAGAAAGTTTGGATGGAAACAACAGTAAAAATTAGCAAGTTATGAATAACACATCCAATTATAAAGTTGATTTCAAATTTCATAAATAAAAGTTGTTTTCAGCCACAGTTGTGTCTTTACAAAATTTTTGCTAACAGATAGTCTTAAATAAATAATACCTTATCTGCTTATTATCTATGCTTATTTTTACATGTCTTTAAAATAGACTTAAGAATAAATGTTATCCAATGCTTTTACATCAGAATTATAAGATTCAGAAACTAGCAAACTCATTTGTTGGCTGTAATTTCATTCTTTTAAGCGGTAAGGTAATGTGGCATATGTTGCATTCTTAAATATAAGTAAATCCCTAAGTATCATGGGAAAATGAGACTAAAAGATAGTTTTGGTGAAAAACAATTCTGAAACCCAGGCACAATTTTTTTATAAAACATGTGTTCCACGATCCTTTTAAAGATTTCTCAATTATCTGTCACCTAGAAATTTCAACTGCTTAAATACAAAGTTATCTTTAGAATATATTTAATTTATCAGAATTAGCAATATAGCTATTGTGGCAAGGAATTCAAAGTATGGAAAAGTTGGACATACTATGAAAAGAGCATGAGAGGGCTGGATGGTGGTTGGATGAATTATCTTATTTGTGGTTATGGAAACATGACAGAAGGATACCAAGATTTTTATCTTTAAAATTATTTTATTTTGGAATAAAATAAAATTAATTTCCAAATTTATGCATCTCAGCCTTTGAAAAATTCTAATAATCTGTTGATTTATATTAGTAGCTGTAGCAATTTTTCAATTGTACTTATCAATGAACAAAGTTTTGATGTATTCTTTTGTAACCACAATCCTTATAACTCAATTATAATGAAATGAGCACTTGGGAATCTTAATATTTAAATTTTCATTCTGTTCATATATGTGGATTGCATTGATTCAGATTAATTCAGATTTGATGATGACTCTTATTTGAGCACGCTCTCTCATTTATAGTGAGGCAAAACATGAATGAAGTCTGAGATTCAAATCACCTTTCTCAAATATATAGATATCAGGATGTTTATTGATATATTGAGTAAAATATAAATATCTAGACCAATCTGATTGATAAGAAGTGATTATCATCTCTATTAATTTTTATTCCATAAAATTAAAAATGTCAAAGTAATTGTTTCCTTTGTTGCTTATGTGCTGCTTCTTTTTATCATTTAGCCTTTATGGTTTACAAATATCTTCTAAAATACAAGTGCTTATGCAGAGAAAAATAGTTTTTGATTTATAGTTCTCCATTCCATCATGCAATTTCAGGGAATATTTTGATGTATTGTGTGTGAGACAGGAGTTTGTCCTGTGTGTCTAGGATTAGATTTCTCTTTCTTTTGTATTGTGTTTCCTCTTTCCATGAGATTTCTAGAATTGTTTAATGAAGAGATAGTAAACGAAATGCTTTTTATAATAATTTCCAAACAATGTTTTTTTATATTATTTTTATAATTTGATGTAAGAACCAGAGAGGCAGGTAAACAGCATTCTCTGCTCCCTGAGAGCTCCCAGTGTTCCACCACTGCAGGCGCTGGGCCAGACGGAAGCCTAAGAGACTGTTACCAGTTCACTCTTCTGCTGACAGAGATGTGGCTGACAGAGATCCAACTACGTGTGCATGACAAGGCAGGCAGTAGGAAGAGGAGGGGTTTGGGAACAGAGCTGGATGAACCCAGGCCCTCCCTCTGAGGTGGGATTCAGGCCTCTCAGTTCCTATGGTGAACACTCACCTCTTACAAATGTTTCCTGAACTGTGGGTTACCACCTGTTAGCTGATTCTCAAATCCACTCAACGCTCTAAATTTGTTTTAATAAAAGAGTACAGTGAGAAAGTTTCAGAATGCCTCAGAGACAGAAGGGATAAATTGTTGTTGTTAAATTTTTGGTTCCAGTGTGGTATGCGCTGGGCTGTATGAAAACTGTCATCTGACTTTGTGAATTGTGATCAGAAAACTCTGTGGATGAAGTTATACTGGCCATCTCTTAAAAACCTACCTGCGCTTTCACATAGAACCTTGTTCAAAGCAGGTACTGTCACATCACAAATAATAACCAGGAGACCCAGCCTCTCCTTCTTTACTGTCAAGCTGTTCGTGCTTGTGGATGATTGTCTGGAATAGTTAAGAGCGGTTTTGCTCCCCAAGAGTACAGACACAGTACAGTGAGCTGTGGAAACGGCACAGGAGGCAGACGGGTACATCAGATTGGACAAGCCCAAGAATCGCATTGCCACAGGAACCCTCCAAGCATCTTCCCATCAGACTGCGGCATCTGGAAAAAGGATCATACAATTTGCCCAGTGTTTCTTTATTTCCCAGACTGAATCACATTTATTCCATAAATTTTTTTTAAAGTAGAAATCATGGCAAAACATTATGTATTGTAAAAATGTATCCCAACTCCTTGTAATACATTTTTCCATTTGCTTAACTTCTAGAAAATCCACTCTAAGGTGTATTTTAACAGCTCTCCAAAAATTCCACCGCTGTTAGGAAGTCATCTTGGAAGAACTGGAAAAGAGAGGAACCTCTCCTTTTTTTGTATAGTCCACGTCATTGTGGTCATTTCACTAAGCTTTCAAAAAGACGCATGTAGTTTTTAAAACATCTACCTTTCCTGCTGTCACCAATCCTTCTTTCTCATCATTTTCTAATTTTATTTAGCTTCTGCAGAGTGTAGGGGTCACCTACTAATGTACACTTTGGAGCAGTGCGGACAATGCTGTACACGAAGCAATTCTTTCATAAATGAATGTAATCATTGTTGTATTTGGAAGGGAAAAAGTCACCATTCTGTCTGTTATGTATTTTATTTTCCAAAAAAAGAGACATCATTATTTTTCAAATTTTATGGTCACCTGTGTTCATAAAATGAGGGTTTTCTCCTGGACATTTGCATCAATGTGAGTAGAAGAATTATTTTTTTTTCCTTTCTGCTTCTTCTATTGGAAGGCAAAACTAGCAATGCCTTTGAATGTCTCTCCCCTAGAAGCCTTTCTTCATTTCTTTCTGTAAAAGTCTGGTATCCTCATAATGACTTGGCTCCCTAGGGGGAGTCTCTGTCAGTGGGTCCCATACCCGTCCTTTGTAAAGATCCCATCACACTGACCAAATGCAGTTCCTTCAGCTTGGACTCCACACGCTCCTGGGTGCAGTGGAGGGGTCAGCATCCTAGTGTCTCCATTTCATTATGTACTTTCATTTGCCACAGACCTTGGGTATTCTGTAAAGCCACTTCCTACCTGTCCCATTTTCCCCCTCTTTTATCTCTACTTCTGGGCCTGCCTTCCGTCCCAAGCTCTGTCCGGTGTCAGTGCCTTACGATGACATCAAGCCTTTCCAACCCCCTCTCTTACTGGACTCCTCCTCATCTGCCTTGTGATTTAGACCTGGAAAATCGGTCTGGGATAATGTGCTATTGGGTCCTTGTGAATTCCTGTCCAGGTGCCTATTTGCATTTTTATAAATATTTCTGGAGAGAGAACAGTGATGTAATTTAAGGTGACTTAAATGCAAGTTGACCTCTAAACATTTATTCAAAATAAAATTAAAGATACGTTTATTTTGGTACAAAAAATTGAAAACAGCGTATTTTTATTTTACAATATTAATTTCCCCTAGCATTTTGAAATCTTGCCAACGTAAGTTGTGATCAAGAATGTGTTTTCAGTCTCTGCGTTTTCCTTTTTTCCATAGATGCCACAAGTGTGTCACTGTGATCATTAAATAATTTTCTATTAATGGATTCAAGTTACTCTCATACTTGGGTTCTGGATTCCTATTTTTTTTTATAAAACAGTATTTTACTCTCCTTACATTTAGAATGAGGAGTATTATTAATTTATAAGAGTAAATAATGTGTATCACAAAGATGAGGGCAGCTTGTTTCATTTAATTCTGTCACTGAACTATAGTACCAAGCATTTACGTACTGCTTATTATAAGTCAGGCACAGGTTTATTTTATTTAATACAGAAGCCCTATGAGATAGATCATTATTATTATGCTTGTATTATAAATATGGCAACTAAAAGCATGGAGATCAATAGATTGATATATGTAGGAGTGAGGTACTTTGCATTTGACACGGGGAATTTATCAGACTCTTATACTCAAAGCAAGTCATTTGCAGAGGGGGACATATTATCTTTCTTTAGGTGCAGATGCATACGAGCTTTTAAAACAAGCCCTTACAAAAGGGTTCTTACTGTATTGCATAAAGTTATGTATCAATTTTTTATATGTATTGTTTCTGTTATGGTCTGTTTTATTTGGTAGGTTCCTTTATTCCCCAGAGTCTTAATTTCACTTGGAAGCCTCAGACACTGAGGAATCCGATGAAAAGAGAGGGTGTGATCATTGGAACCCAGTACGCCCTGTGCAGACCTTTGCTTTCTCTTGTCTTACAACAGGTACCATTTCTGTCAACACTCTGCGCACGCCCTACACTGCCCCTGGGGAGAGTGAGATTCTGGACCTGGATGATGAGCTGTACCTGGGGGGCTTGCCAGAGAACAAGGCTGGCCTTGTCTTCCCCACCGAAGTATGGACTGCTCTGCTCAATTACGGCTACGTGGGCTGCATCAGAGATTTGTTCATTGATGGCCAGAGCAAGGACATCCGACAAATGGCTGAAGTTCAAAGTACTGCTGGAGTGAAGCCTTCCTGCTCGAGGGAAACAGCAAAACCGTGCCTTAGCAACCCTTGCAAAAATAACGGCATGTGCAGGGATGGGTGGAACAGATATGTCTGTGATTGTTCCGGAACAGGTTATCTTGGCAGATCCTGTGAGAGAGGTAAGATTCCAAAATCCAAGGGCCACTCCCACCCCTTCTCCCCCTGCCAAGATGAAAAGTGTATTGAATGTTAACCTTGAGCCTGAGCTGACCGTTGAAACACAGTGTGTACTTGGCTGAAGTAAACTCTGCAAGTTTGCAGCCATCCCTGGCATGGATTACCCATGACCTCACAGTGACTTTCCGAGAGCCTGAATCTGGGCAGATGCAGCTCTTGACATACACTGCCAAATAGAAACTTAGTTTTCTATTACTCTTCATGATACGAGCTTAGAATGTATTATGGACAATAACTGCTGTCATTTTTGACTGTTTTGAAGTTCAGAGCACTAACCAGTTAAAAAAAAAAAGAAAGAAAAAATGATACTTTAGACATAGCCTTGACCTTCAGTGCTAATATGTATGCCAAGAACTAGTATTTGAGTCCAGCTAAGCTGTAAATTGTGACTTCTCTGACACTATTGGGTGAGACTTAAGCTAGCCCGCTCATTTCACTTCAGGTCAGCTTATCCAAGAAGCAATATCCTCTCAGAAGAGTAAGCTGACTGTAAATCATCTAAGTTATAACACCGTTTTCAGTGGTGTACCGTCATTTCAAAGGTACTTGCCTTTGGCTAAGGTCTGCGCGATCACAGGAGATTCATTTACCTACTTGATAATAAGGCTTAGCAGTGTCTGTTGATGCTCTGAGCAGGTGCTTGCTTCCATTCTCTGCTTAGTTAAAGGAAAACTGAAGGGCGAGGGCTGTCACAGCTGGTGTGCACACTAGGCTAACGGAAGAAACAGCAGGACAAAGAGTTCCGAGCCTGTGCTTCCCATCGACCCAGTGTTTCACATAAATGCTTTAGTCACTAAACCCACTGTCACTTGTTTTCCACAGTGGGACTGAAATTCAGTATAAAAATATTAATGCTGTTTAATTTCCTTCTCATGCTATGCTACAGATGGCACTGCACTGTTAGCACGAATCACATGTTTCTTTTTAAATTATGCACCTTAACTTGTTTGCCACTTCTTCATCCCTGAAACAGTTTAATTCATCAAAAAGTTCCTAAAGGAAATGTGGTTGTTATATAAAACCAAAATATGACATGTGATTATAGTTCTTTATCTTGATGAGGAAATAATAGATCAGCTTACAATTCTATTATTAACAATATATATAAGTGATAATCAACTGATAATATAATTCCATATTCAATTCCCTGTCAAAATTCTATTATGTTTGGTAGCATAGCTAGTTTAATAGCTAAATCAATATTTTTATCACATAGGTAATGATTATATATGCATGAATCTTAGGCTCACAGCTGATCGCCTTTCTGGTGAACTGTCATTAGAATTTGGCTCTCTTTGCACAGTGTGGTTTCTATGGTATATATTCAGTACAAACTTCCTTTTCCAATTCTTGTTCTTGACTCCAGTTTGTTTACTCTAGTTTTGAAAATTAGCAAAGTGACAAAAAGTGATGATGCTTGCAAAGTACAATGCAGTGAGGCATAATATGAGATTAGCAAACCTGCTTGTTTTAAATTTTGGGTTAATTTTAAGTATCCAGAATGCTGTCAGTTACTCTGATGCTTCCTGAATAAGTGATGCTGGAAAAGGGCATTAGTCAATTGTCACATGAATTACAGAGACATCCGGTTAAACATGCTCGGTGTACCACCCTGTGGTGGTACTCTGCTACTGCATACGGCAACAACCAAAATAGAAACTGTAGCATTTTCTGACCCAGAAGGAGGGAAGGGGGATATTTCTGCACTGTAATAATTAGAAGGAAGGATGGCCAACGTATACAGATTTGAAAATGAGAGCATAATAACAAACTGCATTGCTGTGATTCAGCATACACTTTTGTGTATCAGACAACTGGAAATTTCTGCAGATTTCTTTGTCTCCGGGTGAATCAGTATTGAGAAGAATGCTTTGTTTTGTTTGTGTTGAATGTGGATTCTCATTTCTGGACTATCATTCTGTGAGGAGACTTTGCTTTTCAAGATTAATTTCTCTTTTCCTATGGTGGTTCCTCCTGAGAGCAGAGGAGATGTGGGATAATCGACATTTGGCTTCCGTCCAGTTCTCGGCTATGCCCTACTTTAGTTAGCACAAGATCTTGCCCAGACCTCTTAGTTTCAAATCAAGTAGAAAATACTTCATGATACCACACACACACACTCTGATTTTAAAAGCTATGGATCATGTAAATGTTGATCAAGATTTGAAATGTGTTAGAAGTGGCATGTGAAAAGTTTTTATTATTGAGCAAAGACCGATAACTTAGGGTGACAATCTGAAGTAACTAAGAAGTGTGCTCAAGTCTTTGGGCACTGAAGTAAGAGAAATAATGTTTCAATTAAAAAATTTTTAAATTTTGCTTTAAGAAAGCAAAGGGTTTGTAAGAACAAGCAGAATACTTGCAAACTTAAGCACTAGACATAACATAATGTTTTTATGTGTCTTAATTCTATTAGGAAGAGTAATATAAAATAATGCCCGAGTGATTAAATTGAGAACTACCCTTTTGCTTTTTCTTTTATAAAACTGAGAATTTGTGCAGACCTGAGGACATGGAATCATTCTCAGTTGTGTGTACAGTAACAGCGTTAGCATGATCAGAAGCCCACTTTCTACGTGTGTTGGAACTCTAGCAGGTGGAGGGACAGATGTCAGAGCAATATAATTTGGCTTGCTGTCTGATTTTCATCGTTGATCACAATATGTGACTGCCTTTCGGCAAAACCGAGCACAGGTGTACAATTTAGACCTGTGACAACAAATAATGCAGCAAAGCAAAGTTTTGAAACTTAACCACAAGAGAAAAGGAGACATAGCAGACAAGGTTGAAGCTGTTTTCCTTCCAATTGGGAAGAAACGCTCTGGAATGAACCCTTTTAAATGATCAATTTGTGTTATAGGAGATAGGATAAGTTTAGTAAAGCTACTATGTACTACAAAATAGGTTAACCTTCAAAATGTCAGCATGGTGTCTGCCAAGATCTTGGCAACTCCAGACTACAACCTTGTGTATTTTCTGTTTTCCTGTTTGATTAACCATTTGCTCTAATTAAGTCTAATAAGGAATCAGCTACGTCTTCAGTTGTAATTTATCAACAAGTTATTTGCACACTGAAAAGTGCATAAGATGCCATTTGGGTCACTCAAGGCTTATTACTTTACTCGGTTGTTTTTATTCCTGCAGCTTTTTGGGGAAAGATCAAAGCCCAATGATCTTGATTACGCCTCCACTGGTCTGAGTTCCATGCTGTATCCATGACCCATTGCTAAGCATCCATGTCTCTAAAAGCACGTGCTTGCCTTAGTTTGCAGCTGAAATAATCTACTTTGAAGCTGGGGCCTTGGAGCGTCTTCTGAGTTTCCCACATGGTTGCAGGGACCCAAGGTCTTAAGGCCCTCTGCTGCTTTCGCAGGCTGTAAGCTGCGAGCTGGATTGGAAAGTGGAGCAGCCTGAATATGAACTGGTACCCATGTAGGATGCATGTGCCAGAGGTGGAGGATTAGCCCGTTATGGCACCATGCTGGCCCCAAATTAAACTACTTTTGATAGAGGAGTGTAAGAGTCTTTAGGATTGATGAAAAATAGAGAGTGGTTGTACAACAAAAATAGAAAGAGGAAATTAATGTTTTTATCTTCCTATCTGCATGATACCAACACAAGTGAACAATTGATAAGGGCCTTTGAACTCTTTTTTATTTGTTTGTATAACTTATTTTTTTTTATCAGAAACTCAGATCTACAGAAAGGAGGAGAAACAGAGAGGAAGATATGCTTTCTATTGATTCACTCCCCAAGTGGCCTCAATGTCCAGAGCTAAGCCAATCTAAAGCCAAGAGCCTAGAGCTTCTTATGGGTCTCCCATGCAGATTCCCAAGGCTTTGGACCGTCCTCAACTGCATTCCCAGGCCACAAGCAGGAAGCTGAGTGAGAAGCGGGGCTGCTGGATTAGAACCGGTGCGCATATGGGATCCCAGCCTCTCAAGGCGAGGACTTTAGCCACTAGGCTACTGCACTGCGCTCAGCCTTTGAGCTTTTATCCAGACTTTCATTTCTTTACAATTGGGACCATACTTGGCTATCAACTGAGTCAAGGAAAAATTGACAACCTATTTTATTTTTAAGAATATGTAAGGAACGATTTTCTAGAGTTTATTCCCCTTTACAATCATCTTAATTAGTTCAAGTGTCTGAAGTAACTCTTGTTTGTAGATATATTTTCTACATGGGAAGCTTTTGTCTATGATTAGAACAACTGAATTTTAAGAGGATGATCTGGTTTTTCTTTAGTATTCAGGTGGGTGCCTAGTCATGGAGTCTCTGCTTTGATAGCTGTGTTTCCTAGTTTGTCTTTTTCTGTCAAATTATGGCTTCTTTCCATCAAATTATGTTAGACTTTAGTAAATATTTAGCTCATATGTGTTATCAAAATTGAATTCAACAAATACTAGGTAGAACACATAATTTCTTTGGTGAGTATGTCAACCTGAAGTACAAACAGAAATAAGATCTTTTAAAAAGATTCGCTATCAAGGACAATCATTAACCCAATAGATATTTATGAAATTTCAACTATGTGTCTGACCCAGCTTTTCACAGGGACACTCAGTGATGTGAGACTAGTGAGCGTGAAAGACTGGTCCTTCTCCTCAAGACAGTTGCATTCTAATGGGATGCAAAGACAATGCTATGCAAACAAGAAGAAATGGTAAATTTCAATTTCAGCTTTAAAACTGAAATGACAATTTGAGGAGTGAGCAGGCCCTTTTACCTCTCTTTTTAAATCTTTACTTATTTACCCAAAAGGCCAACTGATAAACAATTCTTCTATCTGCTGAGGTGTTCCCAAAATGGTCTTTAACTGGGACTGGACCAAATTGAACCCAGGATCTGAAAACTCAGTCCAGGTCTCACCTGCTGGTCACAGAGACTCACATGCTCGGCTCATCATCCGTGACTTCCCAGGCACGTTAGGAGGAGGATGTATCAGAAGTGGAACAGCCAGGACTGGAACTAGTGTTCGTATATCGCGTGTGGGTGGGCCAAGTGTTAGTGTAGCCTGTGGTGCTACAATACTGACCCTGAGCAGGCCTTTCTGAAACGAAAAATGGCCAATGATCTGATGCCCAAACAACCGTCTACAAATGTAGTGTAAAGCCCTCCAAGACAGAGTGATCTGAAGGGGTAAACACTTGTGGAAGTTATGAAGTCTGTGTGACTGCGGCTTCTTCAATTACCCTAAAGGGGATAATCCTGATGCTAGGGAGAGGACTGTAGTCCAGGTTACACAGAGCCTGAAGGGTTCATTAAAAAGGAGTGCCGATTTTATAATTGCATTAGGAAATGATTGAAGAGAAGTATTTTATACACAGGTACACAATTTGATACAATGTATTTTCGTAAAAGTTAAGCTTGGCTGTTGTGTGTCTCGGAAGAAAGAATAAGTACAGGGACACCAGCGAGGCAGCTCTTAGAGTCTAATGAGAGAAGTGAGAAGAATCAGAGTTCCTTTTGTGAGATAAGTGAGAAGGAAACAGCTTGAAATTAGAACCTGTAAGATTTGCATACTTGCATATGATTAGACATGGCAAATTGGACGACAGAACTCAGAGAAGCTGGAATTTGAGCACTGGACCTTTACTATTTTTGTTATGGAAACAAGTGGAGAAAGAATTATGTTAACCTAGAATCCTTAGGTGAAGATGTGGATGAAACAGAGAAGAAAATCAGGGAAGGAGATTTGGAACACACATCGTTTGGAGGTTCTGGATATATATTCAGTCTCCTTTTAACAACAAATGATGCTGACAATCTATTAGAAACAGTACTTGCCTTTTCTGAATCTCTGAATGATAAACTTGTAGAACCACAACTCCAAAATACGGTGTTCATACCGAGTGCAGATGTAACAGTGAAGTTAATGGCTGTTCCATCTAAATAGCCAAGAGAATTGAGAATTCCCTGGTTTGTTTCGGTCCCAGGTAGTTTTTCTTTTATCAAATGGCATTCTGAGTTACTGGAACCAATGGAAAAGCAAAATGACTCAGAGTTGTTTTGAAAGCTTGCACCGCCATATGGTGTTTAGCACTAAAGATGCTGATTATTTCTTACAGCAGTTAGTTTGTCATCAAGAGTTTTTGCTGATTACTTCTTTATGTTTTTAATACAGTGCTGAGCAGCTCCCTATTAATGCAGCCTACTTTATCGGAGCAACACTCATGCACTGCTTCACTGCCACCCCATTCTTCCTCAGTTTACTCAAGGTATCTTGAGGTCACAGGGTCCAGGTTTTCATCATTGATGCAAGAAAGAATTCAAGAACAAGGCCTAGAAGCAGGTCAGCAGAGAAGCAGAATTTTATGTGATTGTAAAGTCAAAGAAAATACTAGTGGAGAGTATATACAGCACGTTCAGGAACGAGCTGTCCTCGATGAGGGTCGTTCCATGCTAAGACCTTGAGGTACAGGGGTGATATCTGGGGCAAATTTTAATTATTTGTTCAAATGGGGTAGAGTCTGAGGTGGGGTTTTAGTCCTGCAAAGTTCCCTGTCCTCCTGAAAATTTCAGAAGTGTCATGGCTTCAGGGATTAGGAATATCTGCCATGGTAATTTTATTGTAGTTAGCTGAAAGTCATAACAGGAATGTAACTGGCAGCCATGTTGGTGCTGTTCAGCTGACAGCAGTTCGGAGTGAGTTTTACATAGAAACTGTGGTTTTCTGCTACATGGAAGAATGGGGAGGGCCAGGCAAACTCACCTTGCAAGGTGCCTCCTTAGCTACATCCAAGTAACATAGTTACTGTTTCTTTTACGAATATCTTGCTGTTATATTATTATTATTATTATTATTTACAACACCAGGGTTTTTCTCATGGATAATGTTCTAAATTACTCCTGACTGCTAAATAAACTTTGAAGTTAAGTTCCAGCTCGTGGCTCTTTAAAGAAATTGTGTTACACGCAGTGGCATAAAAACATTTGTTGCTTGACAATGCACTACGTTATTTTCTTCCCCCACCCTTTTATACGATATCACCACTGATTAGATATTGGCTTCATTTTTTAAAGATTTTTTGGGGGAGGACCCATCATGGTAGCCGAGTGACCAAAGTCTTCACCTTGAATGTGCAGGGATCCCATGCGGGTGCCAGTTCTAATCCTGGCAATCCTGCTTCCCTTCCATCTCCTTGCCTGTGTCCTGGGAAAAGCAGTATAGAACAGCCCAAAGCCTTGGGACCCTGCACCTGCGTGGGAGGCCCAGAAGAGTTTCTGGGCACCTGACTTCAGATCAGCTCAGTTCTGGCAGTTGTGGTCACTTGGGGAGTGAACCACTGGATGGAAGATCTTCCTGTCTGTCCTCCTCCTTTCTGTGCATCTGACTTTCCAATAAGGATAAATAAATCTATATATATATATATAAAAGATTTGTTTTTAAAATCTGCTTGGGGCACTGATGATGAAATAAACAATTTCTCTTAGCAGCATGGGTTTTTGGGTCAGGCCAAGTTCTTGCAGTTTCAATAGCATTTTCCCAGGTTATAGATGATGAATTTGGAGACAATATTGGCTAATTTCATAGTTGGTGACCTCACTGTGTATAAGCATTGATTCAACTGTGTATAGTATTTCTCACCAGCTCACAGAGTGGCTAATACTCTTGAGAAGGAAGACGTTGGTATAAACACTTAGATTCCAACATAATGAATACAGTAATAGAAAAGATTGTAGGAATAAATATAGAAGTGCTTTTGCCCCTGAGCATTAGCAGATATTTCAGAGTTCTCCCTTCAGGACCTTTTCCTCTGGCGAAAAAAAAAATCATTTTTAAAGAAAATGAGCTGATTTTTATAACTTTGTGTTCTATGGAGACGCTAGATAATTTTTTTTTCCTTCAAAGTATAAAGGCAGTAAAATACCAAGAACTGAAAGCCATTTCTCATCTACAGAGGCAACAGTCTTGAGCTATGATGGGAGCATGTTCATGAAAATCCAGCTCCCAGTGGTGATGCACACAGAGGCGGAGGACGTGTCCTTGAGGTTCCGGTCTCAGCGTGCCTATGGCATCCTGATGGCGACCACTTCCAGAGACTCGGCCGACACTCTGCGCCTGGAGCTGGATGCAGGCCGCGTGAAACTGACGGTCAATCTAGGTAACAACCAGCCTTCCCCACTGAACTCACACCTCCCACGTTTTGTTTAGTTTTGCCTGCAAACATCTATCAAGTAGCCTGTTTGCCATGGGAAGTTAAAACTCTCAATGGTCTTATTTCCATCCTTTAAATTTCTTTAGTTCGTTTGAGACATCTTTTTTATTCTTTTCATTGTGTTTGATGTAACTTTCTGTTTTGTGATCCCTGCCACTCGAAGGTTCTTAAAAGGGAAGCCATATATATACGAATGAAGCTAATTAAAAGTTAAAATTAGTAGGCTTGATGATGCCTCAGTCTAAATTCCAATTGCTGCATTTGCTTACAGTCTTATTAACTATGAATAATATCTTTACAAATAAATAAAAAATAGCATTTTAGTTAATATATATATATATATATGAAATTTTCAATTTACGTTATGGTACCTAAACCAGCATTTCTTCTTTCTGTGTTGTCCGGGCTTCTCCTTTGAGAATTGACCTGTGTGGTGTCCCGTCCTTTCTGTTTTGATGTACTGTGCGGTGATATTTTGCTGTCAAGCAGCGATCACAACCCTTCAATGCCCAAAGTCTGCGGCCCTTAGCAAACAGCCATGCGAACACTCATGGTACAGGCTCTTCTACAGAAAGATAATGCTTTCCTGCTTCTTGGTAGGTGTAAGGCTCACTACAGTAAAACCTCACCATCCTGGATGAATTGGGGGTAGGAGGTAGCCGGGCTGAATGAAGAAAAAGCCTCAATTGTTGATTTCTTTCATAAAATGTTATACACTTTTAATCATTGCCAAGCACGTATAAAAGCACAAATTCATAGCTGAACGTATTTTCTCAAGAAAAGGACTTATTACTTTGATTTTCATGGGTGGATAAGAATTATCCATAATGACGAGTTCATTGTTTCATGCTAATTGTGCCATCAACTTACAGTGAAGTACTTGAAATAAGTTTTCTTCCTGAACTTGGCCTTTAAAATATTTCTTAATCCATTAATTTTTTCCCCTTGGGTGATATTTGCTCATACTAAATGAGGTCTGAATACTCTGCCCAATAAATTTCAATGTTCCTGTTAACTCCAAACAAGAGGAGTAAAATTAAATGAGGTTTTACTGTATTTCTTGAAAGTGGTAAATGCACAAAGACATTCATTAAATAGAGGAGGAAGACTAAAGTTTGAAACTCCATAGATTTACAAGAATATTATGTAGTTAGGTAGGGCATTTGTTGAAATCCCACTTGAACTTTTAAATTGTTCTGAGCAGAAGGGTGACTAACAAAACATAAAACTATTCTATTGGTAGCAGTTTCATCGAATTATATTCAATTAACACTAGTATGAAATTAAGTTAAATAATAGTTAAAAGGTTAAAAAACTCGAGTACACAACACATATTTACTGTTCTGTTAGAGTTCCCTCTACTGCCAACAAAAGGTTACTACATTCCAGTCAAAATGAATTGCCTTATTGTAGCAAAGAGGCTGCTAGCTAAGATGGAAACACTCATGGAAATGTAACAGCAAAGCATTCTGTAGAAAGAGCTATGTAGGTGATGATCCTTGGCTGTTTGCAACCACTTTTCTGATGCGGTTGACGACACATGACAAACTCAGCTATATGGAAACAGAATCTAGGTTTATGTTTGTCTTGCTCCCCAAAGGCATTAAATACTAAAACCCAAGCCAACAAAAATCTTATCCGTATAGAAAATGAACACAAAACATCCCACGTACTCATAGTCTGTTTAAATAACCGTTGTCCATACAGTCTTTTTATTCCCACAAAACTTTCTGTGCTTTTAGCATCTGCTTTTGTAAGAAGCAAGTTTAAGAAAGAGAAAATCAATAGTAGTATTGACAGTAGCACTTATTCCATAGAGATAACATTGTTAGCTCCAAAGGGAGGCATATGCTTAAACAGTATGAAGAATGACTATTTCTTAGCCACAAGAGGGTTTTTGAAAGAGACACGCAGCCATTCCTTCCCTCCTCTAAGTTGTACTAGGTATGCAGCCCAGCCAAGATCTGCCATTTCCTTTCTGTGCCCAAGGAAAATTAAAAGGACAAAGCAAAGCAACCAAATAAGCAAAAACAAAAACCACCAAAAAGTTTAGGGTGAGATGATAATCATTTTGACTTGCTCTCCACTCAACCACCATGATTCTGAAGGATTCAATTGGCCTTTGTGGGATATTAGATTTTGAAGGTCCAAGATGTCTGAGCCTAGCTGAGCTTGCACTGTACCCCATTGTGACGGAGCACTTTTAAATTTTGCTGAAAACAATGTTCTTTCACAGATGGGGAGAAAGTTGCATCCAGTCTAAGTCAGGCATCTTTGACAGTTGGCAACTCTTCATGTCACTTAGATTTGTCACCATGTAGCTTTGTTTGAATTGGCCATTTTCTTAAACCTTCTATTGTTGTTTCCAACAGTAAAGTTTTATGAAAATAAATCTGGGTTCTAGAAGTATGTACAAATTAAGGATATGGAGTGGCCATCTTTGCATGTGTCTGTCCCCGGAAGGGTGGACTGTGATTTTATTGGATGTCTGCAGCTATTACCTTGAAGGATAAATTTTCATTTTTCATCTATTCTTCCCCATCTAGATTGTATCAGGATTAACTGTAATTCCAGTAAGTGCCTATTCAAAATTCTTAAACTGTTATTCCTCCATAATGGTGTAAGATAGTCAAGAAAGAAAGAGAAATGTGTTTATAAAATCATGACTTCAACTTTAAAGTATACCAGTCCATCATCTGGGTTGTAAAAATTCATTTTAAAATCTAGAGAGCACAAGTGTTTCCCTCAGGAATTCCTGAGTAAGAAAAGATGTGGCAAATGTTTGTAACAAAGATGCCAACATCTCCATGGACTTTCTGATACGACAGGTGGCATTTATATTTTGCCAGACTTTCAACTCCCATATTTCTCTTCAGAAACAGTTGGAGAAAATATATCATATTACTTTCATTTATATCTCCCAATTCAAGTATATGTGTGTGTATATCTTCATATATGAAATTTATCTGATTTTGAAAATTATTCAATTTTTCCAAACTCAGCTTAATTTTTACATGGGGAAATATGTTTTTCCAAGTTGTGCATTCAATTGTTCATTGACTCTTAATGTCATTTACATGATGAATTTTTACATCCTGATCATATATCTGCAAAAATATAATAATAACCAAAACCCTTGCAATCTGTGATATGCATGCAAAATGAAGAATCAGAAAAGATGCATGGACTGAATTTTGTTTGAGATCTGAATGAGGACAAGGACTGTGATTTTATTTTGAGTTGTGGCATTAATAAGAACATGTCTATTTTATTTCTTTAATGTTTAGGATTTCTTTTCCAGGTTTTGCTGACCACATAAAGAAATCTCTAATGTACACAGTTATTTGCTACTTAAGTAGAAACAAAAAAAGGAAAAAAAAGAAAGAAAAGTTCTAATTAGCTTCTAATTTCATAGTTCTTAGTTTTTTTTCTATACCTTTCAAAGAATGATAAATGTAATTTCATGGAATCGGCCTTCCAACTCATTGGATATATTTCCAAATAAGAATAATTTTCATCTTCCAAAGAGCAGGAAATGGTCTTAAACATTCAAGAGTAAACAATTTTCTGATAAAATAGATACTGTTTGAACACTGTTGAACTTCTTAAAACATACATACAAGGGACAATGGATATTTTAATTTTTAATTTTTTAAAGTGGCATAAAAGTAAGTCTTTCTAATTATGGCAGTAAGAAGATAACTAAATCATGATTACTAACACTTTAATCAGTGTATATAACCAACATACTAGCAGTAAAAAAAAAAAAAAAACTCACAAAATCATTTTCCAAAGATCATCTCTCACAGCTCCCATACAAGTGGAATTTTTTAAGGATACATCCTTCTTTGCCTGTGTGCTCCCTGAAGGTTCTCCTATTCTGACGATGATATACATTTTGTACATCTAGTGCCATGGTCCTCTTAGCTTTTAGCTCAGGGACTTATATGTAAGTGGCTGCTAATAAAATGCTCTCTTCCAAAGCCAATTCCGTGCCTCGGTGCAACAACAGGTTTTCTTGATCCCTCTTGAATATCAAAAAATCCACATAGGAGAAAATATCTCTTCCTGCAACATTTTCCTCTTATTTATGTGAAGCAATTGATGAAGTCTGGATTTTTGAAATTTAACAAATATAACTGTGTAAGTCTATAAATTTATGGAATTAAACCAAATTGTAATTCTTTGTTTTCTAGCCATGGTCATGACTCCTTAAAATATATATTTTGATGGTGTAATTACCCTTGTGAGGTTAGGTTCTTCTGTTGCCTTGTATCCTGAGATTCTGATATTAAGGATCATTCCCCACCACCTCCCCCACCAGAATACTCCATAGAAAAATATCTTTGAGGACAGAAGTCTTTCATGGTTAGTAAATGTTTCCTTTTTAAGGAGCATTATTATATTTAAATTGAGTTAAATGAAGGCTTGTGAGCTTCCAGTGCACATCTCGGACAGGACTGCAAATGCCTTAATTTGACAGCAGGCACTGGGAAGAACTTTCAAAGACCAGGTAATGTTGACATTTCCTTTTGTCTTCGTTGTATTTGGGGAGTAGAGGGCAGATCAGCTGTGTTCTAAAAGAGAGTGAGTGGACTCAGGAAAAGAGAGAAATTTACATATCAAATAACAAACAGCTAATGCCATGATTGAATGAGCAGAGATTCCTATCTGCAATACATTTCCTATGCAATGGAAAATAAATTAAGAATATCTGTGTTTCGGTGTAACTTGCAGTTTAATGAAAGAGTGATTTATTGCATGAATCCTCTTGTGAGCCAGTTTTGTCTGAAAATGAGAAAATGAATATACATTTATTCATTCGGTTATATAACAGCACTGACTTTAGAAAAAAATGTGCCATTCCTGAGAAATCAGCTGTATTGTGAGATTAATACCGCCATTGATATCTTATGAAAATCTGCCGCAGGAAAGATATAAACTATAACATAAATGATTATTAATATTAAACTCTAAGTGTTTAAGCTTGAATGAAAAACTTCCTAGACCAATTTCTCCACTTTGAATTGTTCTGCTGCTTGCTGTAGTAGGTTATTCCTTCCACAAGCTCCTGTACACACACTTGCAACATCTGTATCAATGTGGAAAAGAAAATCAGATGTATCAGCCTTTGATAGTTAAGAGTGGCTGACAAGTGAGACCAAAGAGTCTGGCTGCACATTTGCTGGCCTGCGGAACTGAAAGACATGGCAGATGTGTTTCTTTTCTTTTTTAGCCATTGCAGTGTCTGGAGTTTAGATGCAAGGATAGGGGCTCCCATGGAGAACCTAAGGTACAGTCCTTGGTGAAAATTCCTCTGAGAAAGGGCAGATTTGAATTCCATGGATTGTTTCTGTCACATTCCTGATTGCCACCACTTCTCCCTTTGAGAAAAAAGCTGTCAAAGCTCTTGAAACTAAAGAAGAGAACCTCTTTTCATTTAGAAATCAAAAGCTTATTTTTATGTGTGGATAGGATACTTAAAAGGAGAGCCAGCGCTGTCTCAGCTGAGTGACCACACCAGCATCAAATGGATGTTTTGATCTTTCAGATTCCAGAGGGTGTGATCGTGAAGTCACTGATATACATTTGCTTAAATCGGTGCCTAAATGTGTTTGTAGCCCTCAACTTGGAATTAGATTAGGTTGGCTTTTGTAAATTTTTGTGGCCCAGACAATGAGCATAGAGAGGTTTTATCCCGGGATCTCCACTGTCCTGTGGAATAGAGTTAATGGGAGGGTCAGAAGAGCTTGACCCAGCCCATTTGCCTCAAAATTGAGTAAGGCAGACTATCATGATTCAATGCTTGGCTAGAAACTTGCTAAAAGAAACACTATTTTTAATAGTGTTATATTTTCTTGCCTGGACAGTGAAGAATACCTTGATAAAGGTAGCTAGAATAAGGCTAGTAAGATAGATTATTTTAACCTAAGGAAAGCAATAATTTGCGATAGGTAAATAAAAACAAATTGTAGGCTCCTTTACAAAAAAGAAAAAAAAACACCTCATCACAGAAATGTTTATTAATGCAGAATATTAACAAGTTATTGTCAAGAGAATTCAAGTCAGGCAGAACAAAGTGCTTTTGTGACTAACACATGAGTTATTTGTATGAAAAGGTGAGTTTCTGACAGTCTCTTGTCTGATCTGTGGTATTAATTGACTTAAGAAATAATTTGAAAAGCATAAAGAATGCAAAGGAGTTTTCTACTTATGAAATTTTCTCTATTACGTTTTCAGTAGGATCTGTGCAGGACCTTGCTCTCATTCTGTATTCTTTCTGTCTGCACAGGCACATATCTTAATATCTTGCTTACTTGACTCAGAAGTTCCAAGAGAATCTCATTTTTAAATTCATTGCCCAATAATTTTTTAATAATAGATCCAAAGGGAGTAGGCTGCTTGTTTCTCTGTATTGTTTTAATGAAGATTTTGTCTTTGAGAGTCATTTATTAAACAATTAAATTGCTCCAATTTATCTCTCTATTCTTTTGGTAATCTTAAAATTGATCAGTGCTATAATTTTCGAAAGTTAAAATATATTAAACATCTGGAAACTAAGCTTGTACTATCAGCCATGGATAAATCCTGGTGTCCTTATGAGCCATTGCTTAAGTTACGTATTGAATGCAGGGAGGCTTTTGTGTGTGTTTTTTCCTTTTTGTTAATCTTTTCTTTTTTTTTTTTTTTCGTTTTTCAAATCAATGCAATAATTACAAAATGACCTTCTTGCCCACAGAAAGGCTTAGGGCCATTCTGCAACCATATGAAACTGGATTTTAATAATCTCATGCTCTCCGGGGCTTGTTGATTTGCGTTGTTTGACTTTCTTTGTGTCTTTATCTCTTCCGTGCATTTATCTCTTCAATAAACCCTCTCTTCTTTGTTTTCCACCAAGACTTACTCCTCTGATTTCTCCACTTCACATGTATCTTTGCCCTGCTTCATTTCCCTTTGTTTTCTCATATGCATGAAAGTTTTCTGCAGTTAAAATCATTTACAGACTTTATAAACACTTTGAGCTTTTCACAGGAAGTGGTTTATCTAAGACACAGAGACAATTAAAATAAAAGATGACATTAATGTAGACCAACTGTCAAGGGCTGAAGTTCAGCTTTTACTTGCAACCTGACATCCTAGCAATGAAAAAGAAAAAATCTAAGGAGAAGTACTTAACCTCACTCTTGACTTGGAGATAACACTCTGTGTAGTGTGTTATTGGAAAATGGACTTTGATGAATGTCTGCAGTAGATAAGATCTTGGTATTATCATTTTATTACCAGAATGAAAAGATCAACTGGATATTAGTTATCACCAGAGTTTCATGTGGATAAAAACGGAAAGCAATAAAAGGATGCAAAATGTCAACTGGCAGCACCTAAGCTATATTAGATTGTTTTCTTCTGACTGCCACTTGGCTGTCCTTGGAGGGATATGAGGATGTTTCTGAAGGCTTCTGTTGGATAACATGAAGGAAATGGTTAGTTTGGAGCTCTTTCTTGGTGTCTGAAGTGCAGACAGCCATGAAAGGGAGTTTATCACCTCTGTTCCTGTACCATCAACCCTTGGTTT